CAAACTTGAGGAGTCCTTCAGAGCTGCGATGGAATGGGGTCAGTCAGCGCCCCACAGCACATCGACGGCAGGCAGAACCAGCCACCGCTTGTTTGTTGTCTGCCTGCCTGCCACCACTGCTCAGGTGACGAGGCGTCCACAGAGCAGATCCAGAAGGAGCTCTACAGCGCCAGGCGGCGGCTTGCGGCCCACGAGGCATACTTCAGGGGGTGTCTGGAGGCGCTCAGGGAGGTCGACCACCTGCAGAGGAGAAAATACGAAGCAGAACGGCAAAACAACTTCGTGCAGGCGCGGATCCTCCATCGGTGTGTACGCAACCAAACCATCTAACCTAACCGATCGCCGCCAGATCCAGCAGCTGTGCCTGTCCTGTGTTCTTTGGCTTGCTCTGCAGTGACATGGAGATCCGCCTGCGGCTGCTGCATGATCGGCTCAGCTCACACGCTGGGGCGCAGGTGCTGTTGACGGGGCCCAGCCCGCAGGACAGCCGGGCGGACCTGGAGAAGGTGCAATCCCTGGCCTCTACTAACGTGACAGTGCCGACCGCGCCCGTGTTTGCGTGGACTGCGTCTGAGAGGCGGCTGCTCAACAAGGCGCGGGAGTTCAACCAAAGGATGGAAGGCAGCCTCATGAACGGTAGGCAGGCGGGCAGGCAGGCAGGGCGTCCACCCACCCACCCATACACATGCACACGCGAGAGCTTCTCTGCGATGGTTGGTCCCATCAGATGAGGAGGAGCTGCGTCACAAGTACGACAAGCTGATGGTGGAGATGCTCGACCAGCAGACCGAGTCAGAAGAGGGGGGCGACAGGGCGCCCAACTCGACCACCTCCTCGGCCAAGACCGACGAGAGCGCCGTCGACCCCGTCATGTTTGACGTCGAGAGGCGGCTGGCGGAGCTCAAGGCCGACCAGGCCTTCCTGTCCGACCCCAAGAAGGGCGACAAGGCGCCTCTCGGTCCTTGGAGGCAGCTGGTGGCGTCGAACGGCAAGAGAGGCGACTTTGTTGCTCAACTGAGGTAGGTCAGCCATGCCCACAAGCCCAGACTCGTTAGAGGCATTGTCGCATGTTGATGTGTATGGGTCAGGCCGTTTCGCTACTTGACGTTGCTGGCTGACGCGAGGCCGAACAGCGAGCAGCTCAAGGCCTCTCTCAAGAAGCTGGGGGACAGGCAGCCATGGCTCGACATACCCAGACACTTCCCAGTGGGCAGCCACACACACACAAGGACGGCATCGGCAACCACGTCCCATTCACTGTGTGTGTGTCTGTGTGTGTGTTTAGGTTGCCTTTGCCGCTGTGACAGTGGACAGTGCGAGTGCGAACGAGGAGATGGAGGAGGTGTGCTCCTTCCCGGTGCTGTCGGACCCCTACAACGAGTTCTGCGACGGCTACGGCCTCACACGCGGGGAATCCAACACCTGGACCACCCACCTCTTCCTTATGCGGCTGTAAGCCCCTATCATCCCCCACGCAGACACATGCACACAGCTCTCTCCCTCTCTATGAGTGCCTTTCCTTTGTTCGTTCAGTCGTCTGAAAGAGGAGACCCCCTCGATGCAGATCGCCGGTGTGCTGACCGACCTGGACCCCTCTGACGCCACCCAGGGCTTCGAGTTCCTCCTTGAACAGGAGAGGGAGTTCCTGCAAGAGGTGCAGCAGCGCATCGGCAAGGTACTCATGGGCACTGAGGGCGATGACGACCAGTCCGACCAGCAGCCCCGGCAGCTGACTGACGACGAGAAGCTGCTGCAGCGGCTGGAGCGTAAGAAGCGACGGGCGAGGGATATGCGATTCAGGCAGGGTGGGAGGAAGAGACGGCCTGTTGACGAGGCTGATGGTGGCGAGGTGGATGAGGGGTCTTGGGGCGCGGGGTTGGTGGCTGAGGGGCCGTCAGTGGACGATGGGTCAAGGCAGGGTGGCTATGAGTTCTGGTGACGAGCTGTGTGTGGCAATGCCACTCGCTTGTCGTGAGTGGCTGAGTGATGCATCGATTGGTTTTGTCGTACGTCGTTGATAGGCAGATGTCATCCATACATTCACAAGCACAAGGGACTCCGAATGCACGTGGAGTTTTGTGAGTGGGATGAATGGATGGATGGATGGATATGAGACGGGCATCCATCGCTGTGCCTGCCTGTGTGAGCGTGTGATCTTGTCAATCAGTGATTGGAGTTGACATGGTCGGCGGGCGCGTGCACTGACAGGTTTAAAGCTGGGCCCTGCAGGGAGTCATTGCATCGTCTGTCCGCACGCACACACACACACCCCCCTCCGGCCGGCGCAACTAGCCATCTCTATCATTCCTGGTGCCAGCCAGCCCCAGTGGAATCGTTTTCTGTGCTGCCTCACCCCCTCTGTCGCTGTCTGTCTTTCTCGTGTCGATCGGCCCTGAGCCCCTCAAGACACACACGACAGCCAGCCAGCCAGCCATGCAGTAGACGACCACAGGCACGAAGAAAGGCATCACACACATTGATGACAGGGAGGGCCGGCAAGCCATTCACAATAGACTGTCCTTCTGTTGTCATGTCACACGAGGCAGCCAGGGAGGGAGATACGCTATGTGTACACGAGACAAGACTGGCCGCTGAAAGGGGCTGTCTGTCTGTCTGTCTCTGCGGGCGGCAGCGGTTAACCAACCATATCTGAGAACATCTATCGCAATGACACACAAGAAGCCAAAACGCCTCCCTCGTTCGGACTGTCGTCATCGATCTCTCCCGGCTGACCCCGCCCGCCTCACCTCAAAGGGAGCCCCTCGCTCATGTGGTTTATCTATGTCACTGCTTGCTGCCATTGTTGGCCTGGACATCCGTCAGCGCCATTATCGCGTCGCCGTCCTCATCCACGTCCATCGATGCCGACGCAGCAGACGCACGAGACGCACCAGAGGCCGCAGGGGGCGATGCAGCAGCACCAGCAACAGCAGCCAGACCAGCGGCTTGTGACTGTGGCTGTGACACGGCGTCGAACGTCGACGCGGCCCCACCGCCGCCCTGGTGGGGCATGGGCTGGTCGTCGTCTTGGACATCCAGGCCGTCGTCATCGTCTGCCTCGTCGTTGCCCCCGCCCCCAACCGCCCCGATGACCCCTGCTGGCGGCTGTGATGGTGGGATGGGGATGGGCTTACTCTCCTCGCGAGGACCAACCTCCAGCAACTCATCCGCTGTCACAAAACTGACGACATTGCACACAGAGAGAGGGAGATGGGTTTGTATCCGTCTGTCTGTGTGGTTGGTTGATGGCAGGACTGACCGACTGACCGTGGTTTGTTGGTGCCTTCGGCGGGGTCGAATATTTCCATGGCCTTGGTGAAGCTGAAAGTGATGCGTGGGCTGCTCTTGAGTCGGCGGACGAAGTCGCGCAGCGCCCGAATGGCGTCGTGGTGCCGTTGGCCCCGCATACATAGCCGCACGAATGAGCCCTCGTTGGTCTTGCCGACCCACACCAGCTGCTCGCTGTCGTGAGACGTCAACCACATCAATGCTACGTGACCCTGGAGGATGCATGGGATAGGATGCACACACCCATGGATAGATAGATGGATGGATGGATGGATGTGGGTGGATACATACCTGTCGTGCAACGGCTCGTCCGACGAACACGAGTCCCATTCTGTTCTGCAGGACGTCCTGCACCGGCGGCAGGTCAGTCGTCAGGAATGCAGCCACCTGATAGTTCTTGATCCTATTAACTCACGCAGAGAGAGGGAGAGAGAGGCAAATAAACTGACGAAGGAATCTGGTGTGGTGTATCGGCTGCCTGGATGGCTCACTCGGCAACGGCAGCCTGCAGCATGAGGCACGGCACAAAGGTCGAGAAATGGTTGAAACGATCCAACAAACGCACCTGCTACACACACGCATACACATCCCAGCCAGACACAAGAGCAGCAACGGTACACAAAAGTGGGCGTGTCTTATATATGTCGTTGGTCGGTCACCTTCTCCGGGTCGGTGGAGCAGATGTGCACAGCGGGGTCCCGCTGGCCGATGTCGGCGGCCTCCACCCAGGCGGCGTTGTTGCCTTTGCGGAGAGCGGGCGAGACGAACTTGAGCCGCCCGCCCTCGTTGTCGTCCTTGAGGGGCTCGATCGACTGCACGCTTGACCGGGTCTGCACCTGGTGACCTGACACGACCACACACACAGGCAGAGACAGACAAAGAACAATGGAACGAACGGTTGCTCACTCGTGTGTGTGTGTGCATGTATGTGAGGTCAGGTTGGATGACCGACCGAAGAATCTGTATTGCGCTATGGTCTCGGGCAGGGTGAGCAGTGTCTTGTACTGCAGGCCAGCCATGTCGAAGTCATCGTCACTTATCGACACACGCGTGTCGTACCACAACCTGGTATATCCCATGCAACACACACACTCGTGGCTGCCCGCCCCTCTTGCTCTGCCGCCCATGTATCGCGTCCGTCGCTTACCTGAGGAATTGGAAGAACAACGCCCATCTGCACCAGTCCCACTCCTGCTCGAGCACCCAAGCCGCCCTCTCCCACGTACGCGACCGCGAAAACGCCCCGAACGGCGCGAACCGCCGCTTAGGGTGGGCGCTGACTCGGTGGCGGAAGAACAAGGCGTCGCTGGACAATATGCGGTAGAGCTCACGGCACGAGGTGCGCAGGGCCAGGCAGCCTTGGACCGACACGTGCATGAAGCACGCGTGCAGCTCGTGAGCGCCTAACCCCTCCAGCAGCTTGTCAGAACCTAATAGATAGATGGATACACGCAGGCAGCAGACCAGACAGGGAGGGAGAGAGGGGACTTGACTTGCAAGATGCATGCAGGCAGCCCGCCATGTCCGACAGACAACCCTTCCATCACGCCTCTCATGTTGCTCCCTTAGCTACGTCTGGCTGCCTCAGCTGCTGCCTGCCCGTCCTTCCTTCCTTCCCAAAAGCCCCTGCTGCCTGTGCTGTGTGCTACCTCGGGTTTGTACCTGGGACAGTGATGGTGGTGGTGGTGTTGAGAGTCGGTGGGAAGTGGAGGCCCCCAGATGTTGGGGCGCTCGTCTGCCAGACAGATAGACAGACAGACAGACACAATCAATGCAAAGGGGCAATGCAGTCAATGTGGGTCTGTCTGTCTGTATGTTCGTGCGTGTTGGTGGGTATGCTATCTTCCCACCACATATGGATGCGTCTTGTGTGAGGTGCAGGAGAAGGCTGTCGGTTACTGGCGTCTGCGGTTGCCATTTCTGTGGACAAGTAAGTAGTGAGTGACACACATAGACAAACAGACAGACAGACAAACAATCGGCTGATGTGTGAAGAGCCCAATGTGCGTGTGTGTGTGTGTGTGTGTGTGGGCTTGCTTACGGTCTGTATTGGAGGTGGTGGTTGATGAGCCGATTTGCCACCTCGGCGGTGGTGGGTGGCCGAGTCGGACTGGGGGCCATCCCTAGCTCCCATACCTTGACAATCTCGTACTCCTCCAGCCGCTCCTCATAGGACAGGAGGGGAGGGGGAGGCGCGTCTCGGCATGTCAGCCTGCGGTTGGGAGCGGGCGGCGCGTTGGGGTCTCTCTGGAGGATCGTGACCCCGCCGTACACCGGCTTGGCACCGCCGCCCCCTGGGTTGCCGACTGGTGGACTCGCCGCCGCACAGCTCCCCTTCGGCACCCACTTCTGCCGCCCCTTGGCCCCAGCCTGAGAGGGTGCCGCAGCGTCGCCTTGCTCTTTGCGCACCTCCTTGGCTACAGCGGCTCCCCCCGACACCACCTGACGCACGACCTTGGGCACCAGCCGGCTCCCCTGCCCCTCTGCCCCACCCTCCCCTGGCCACTTATCGCCCTCATGCGCCACTGTCACATGCGGCGGCCCGCCAGTCCTCTTGCACGCAGCCGTCGCCTTATTCCCTTTTGGCTTGGCCTTGCCGGCAGCCGTCGCCTTATTCCCTTCGGGCTTGGCCTTGCCGGCCGTGCCTGGGGGCTGCTTGGCGGCCGTCACGCTGGCCGTCTTGCTGGCCGTCTTGGTCTTGGGCTGTGGTGGCGTGGACTTGGCGCTTTGTTTGGCTGCAGGCTTGGCCTTTGCCGGCGGAGGCTTCGGGTGGTGGGCATCCGAGGCTGAATGAAACAAAAGGAAGGAAACGCAGGCAGACGAACGACAGAAATGATTTCTCAGGCAGGTGTCACTCGGGTGTGTGTTGTGTGCTTCCACCGCACCAGATGTCCCCTCCGTGGTCTCGGTGGTATGCGCCTCCTCGGGCGATTCCGCCGCGGCCCGCCCTGCCCCAGCCTCGTCCAGCACTGCTGCCGCTGTAGCTACCGCGACAGGCACCTTCTCACCACCACCACCACCACCACCACCCCCGGGCGCCTTGCCGTCTGAGGGCGCTTCCTGGGAGAATGGCGAGGCCGACGGGAGAGGAGAGTCCGCAGCTGTAGAAGGACTCACTGGCTCCCTTTCCTCTGACATGTCATATGACACACGCAAAGAGATAGACACATAGATAGATAGATGGGATCTGAGCGCAGCGCAGATGCGATGCCGCCCTCCCCCTTATTCTCCCAGCCGTAGTTTATCGTCGCTGACCAGCAGGGTGCAGCCTCATGTATTCCTTGAGTCGTGTGGTGGCCTCGTCGCGGTCGAGCTGGGCCTGGTAGAGCGCACTGCCCTCCTCCAACAGCTTCTCCTCGAGCAACTTGTACTGTACGCAGACAGACAGACAGACAGACAGACCCATAGATAGATAGATGTGTGTCCGCAGGGACCCGGTAGGTAATATAATCAATCGGTGGTCTGGTGGGTGGGTGGGTAGACAAACGAATGGCTTACTTGTTCTTGCATTTCCTGCAGCTTCTCCTCCAGCCGGATGGCCTCCTGCTCGTAGTGCCGGGCCTTGGCCAACATGTCATCCGCATGCTGAGAACCAAACACTGCAGCCAGACAGCCAGCGAAGGAAGCATAGCATACAGACAGAGCACTCACTCATTCCCTCATTCCCTCTCTCTCTCGTCGGGCTGCCTGCGTGGTGCGCTTACCGCTATTGTTGGGAAGGGTCGCCATGATGACCTCCCCCTCCTCGATGCGGTCAGTGGATGCACTCGACGGGGCAGTGTGGTCCTGCCCGTGGGCCTTGGGGTGCACCTCAGTGCAGCGATAAAGAGCGATTTGGTCGGCGGATATGGGGATGCCCAGGTTGCCCGCGCCCATGGCCTCCCTGAAGTACCCGGTGAAGTACTCGGCCTGAACTCAATGCGTAAGCGTGCCGTTTTTGATGACTTCTTTGCTGTCTGTCGTCCGTCTGTCTATGTGGCTGCCCTCCATTCTGCTTACCGCGTGTTCGACGGTGCATGAGTGCAGCTTCAGGTCGGTGGCATGCAGCCCAGCACACAGCTTGATGGGCATGCCGCTCAGAAGGGGGTGATACACCCGCAGTGCACCGATTCGGTTCGCCCCGATGTGACTGCAGTGCGCTTGGCTCAACGAACTCACAGCGCGAAAGACCACTGCGAACCGACTTGACAAGTTAAGCCCCGAAAAACTGAAGCTGATGGCTTCAAGCTCGCAGATTCGGGCCCTTTTTTTAAAGCCGCTAGCAGCATGCAAAGACAAGGGACACCGCAAATACATGTGCAGCATCGCCGGGATGAATTAATTCATCGGCAAGTCAAAAGGCAGAGCGAAAACAAGACAGAGTGGTGACATGAATGATACATCCATCGTGTGGGCATGCGGAAGAGGCCTCCCGTGACATCATGCACGAATCGAAGCGCCAAGGGTCTCAGTCACGTACTGTGTCGGAGAAATGCGACCCGTCAACGGCCATGATCAGACAGACAGCGTCCGTATGCATACGAGTCATCCCATCCCATGCATGGTCATAGCTTAGCTGCCGTCGCGCCCCCATCAGGAGCCTCCTCCCTCACGACATGCACAGCAACACCACTCGTAGGGGTGGGCCTGTCATGGCAGCCAACCATCAGCCGATAGTGCTCCTTCAGAGACGACACGTATGGATCAATCGCACGCCGCAACACACCCATCACTTCCACCTCCTGAGGGTGCGGGTCCACACACACACAGACACAGACAAACACACACAGATGGATCTACCTGGGCAACGGTGCTTTGCTCTCCTTTAGTTGCGTACCGTACCGTACCGTACCTGGTTGTATCGATAGACAGCGAATGCGTTGAAGAGTCGACACAAGTCGGCGGGACTGCCGCGTAATGAGGCGAGTGTCGCATCCGCAGACTCTAGGTCCTCGAAGTCGGCCTCTTTGGACAGTGTCCTCATGGTGATGGCCTCCACTCCCCTGAGTATGTTGGGGTGGTACCACCCCGACTGAACAACGCCGTCGGCCATGTCGGCCATCTCGCCCAGGCCAATGGGGAGGGTGGCCGGGTCGATACGGTCGTGCGGCAGCTCATGCAGCGTCTCGTTGAGGGCCGTTGACAGGTGGTCGCTGAGAACGTTGAACACATCGGGACTCCCTGCAGAAGAAGACCGCACAGCAATGCGCATGTAAGGGTCCGTCTGTCAGGTGTGCGCCTCGTGACCTGTATGTATCTCACTTGGCATGTGGGCCGCCGTGCAGAAGTTTGTCAAGAGCCTGAACGAATCCCAGATACTCGTGCAGAGCAGCTACCATGATACACTACGGTCTCTGTTTTTGCTCCGGTCTCTGTTTATCTATGTTTGTTTGTACTTACTTGGTGTAGACGTGCAGCTTCCACTCCTGGTCCGAGAATGGCGATGGGAGTGTGGCCTCGTCCCACTCACCCCGCCGACCCATGCCCCTGGAGGCAGCCGCAGTCTTCATGGCACTGGCGGCCTTGAGCGCCCCGAACTGGTCGACAGCCATCATGGGGACGGCCGACATGCCGGGCCAGATGGGAAAGCCAAAGGGCAGCACCTGGTCGTGGACGTCGAATGACTGTGGGTGGAGAGTGGCGTCGGCCAGGTGGCGCCACAGTGGTGCGGCGGAGGGGCATGAGGCGTGTCTTAGTGATGATGTGAGGGTCAGCACGTAGGGCGAGATGAGGTCACACGGGATGCTCAACAACCTGGAAGAAACAACACACAATTGGCAACAGAAGGGGGAACACGTCTCTCTCTCTCTGTCTTTCTTTCTATCTATCTATGTATCTGCCCTGACCTCTTTGAGAGCAGCTCGAGTGTGTCTTCCTGCAAGCTGCCCGTGTAGTGCCGGTCGCTGTTCCTGAAGAATGAAGCGCATTAAGCAAGCAATGGTCGGTCAATGCCATGCCACCGTATATATTGTTGATTCTTTGTGTGTGCTACCAACCAGAAAATCGTTGCGATCTGTGCGATTTTCTCAATGGATGCACCTGGGATGGCCTGCACAGCACAGCACAGCACAGCACACACACAAATGCGCACTTCTCTCCCTCCCTGCTTGTGAGTGAGTGAGTCAGTGAGTGAGTGAGTGTAGTGTGGACCCGCCGTGTCGCCGAGCTCACCTCCCTGAGTTGCAGTGCGAGCATGCTCTTGAGGCGCCTGGTGGCGGCCGTGGGTGTGGATGTGACCTGCACGTGCCGCATTCGTCGCACACGGGGCTGCTTCGCCTCCCAATCCTCCATCCTGCAGGCAGGCAAGCGCCGGGCGCAACCAACACACACGCTCACGTGTATGTATGTATGTTGGTTGCAATGCATGTGAGTGCGTTGCCCACTCGACGAGGTCCATTGTTTGCCACGTTGGAAGCTTCACGGGGGGAGCCTGACAGACAGACAGACAGACAGACAGAAGGAGGAGGAGCGTACACGCACCTCTCCATTTACGATAAGACAGACAGGCCAGGTGCGCACCGTTTTGATTTCCTGCAGGCCGGTCTCCCGGGGAAACACGTCACACTGCACACACAACACACGAAGACGGCAGGCAGACCACTTTGTATCAGTCAATCAGTCACTTCTAGGTACCGTACCAGCAGCAGTTTGGTTTTGATGGCTATCGGCATGGTGTCCACCAGACTGCGGAACGAACCGTTGGCGCCAAACTGTCCCGCCAGCTGACACACAGACAGGGCACCACACCAGAGAGAGACCTTTCCGCCAGCTCTGCGTCTGTGTGTGTATGTTTTGTGTTTTGCGAGTGCGTCTGGTCTACAGGGTGCGGTATTGGGTCGAGGGATGTCGAATTGTAGCGGGCCTCCAGCCGCTCAACCACCTGTACACACGCAGCCGGCACACGAGACAATCAAGCCAGATGACCCGCCCACCACCAGATGCTGATGCTGCCTTCCCTCCTTGGTGGCTGTGGTGTGGTGCCATCCTGTGGACTCACTCTTGGCTACCTGAAAGCAGAGCTGCGGGTCAGTGTATCCGATGTAGCTCATGAGGTAGGCCACAAAGAAGGCCGCCGTCTCGTCAAGGGCCACATCCTTGAGCCTCTCGCCACACAGGTGCCACTCAGCCCTCACATCAGCATCCGGCGACACACCAACCTGCAGCGCGATGCGCAGCGCCTCCTTCAGCGGCGCATAGGCCAGCTGGTCCCGCCATTTGTCGTCAAGGCCCTCCAGAGGGCTCGTGTCCGGCAAGACCAACGGATAGTCGACAACAACGCGCAATCTGAGCATACACACATTGTAGCAACCGTCCGAGTGAGCCGAGCCAGCATTTCGTTGTTCTCAAACGTTTGCCTCCCACCCCACCCGGCAGAATGAATGCCCTCCTCCTCGCCCCCTTGAGCGTCGCCCAGCACCTCTGCAGCGGCCGCATCGTCCTCATCTTGCACATCTTCATCTCGTCGCTTTGGCGCGTCCGCCTCGACCTCATCTGCTTGTGCTTGTGTGGAGATGGCAGCCTCCTGTGTTGGAGCGTTGGGTGCTGGGCTGCTGGCCGTGGACAGGTGCCTTCGTGGCTGCAGTGCTGCTGCTGCTGCCCTGCGATGCTGGGCAGATGAGCACCGATGGGAAGATCGAATGAATTGGGAGCGAGATGGTGCAGGGGCAGAGTGCAGCAAAGCTCCACAAAGAGTGTGGGTGGCTGTGTGAACGCGCCGCATCTCCTCGGGTTTGAGCTCGCATTGTGGTCGCATTTACAATCGTGGAGTGGACCTGAGAAAGGAATACCGATGCTAGCATCATCGAAGGCAGCGGTGCCGCCAGGATGGCAGTTCACCGTGACCAAGACTTTCTACCACTTCAGCCAGCGGCCTAGCACCCACATGAGGAGCCTCTCCGCACCGGCACCATCGCATGGCGGTGAGATCACCCACACCCACACCCTCGCCCCGCCCACGCTGCTCAACAGCCAGCCACCACACGTATCGCATGTATGGTATGGTCTCCTCTTCTCCTCTCTCATCCACGCAGGTCCATTCACTTCATCGTGCCGCGATGCATCTCTGCCTGCCGACGGCGGCGCATCTGATCCTCTCGGCGGCACCATGGCACAGCCCGCCGACCCATCCCAGCCTCTCCCCAAGCAGCCGCCCACCACAGCCGAAGACAGCCGACTGTCACAGTCCCGCACTCAAACCACCAACTCATCCATCGGCATCGCGCCCACACGCCTGCCGTCAGACGGACACAACGGCCTGCAGACCAAACAGAGGCTGGGCGATGCAGCTGCGCGAGAACCGCACGTGACCGTGGCACATGAGGGCGATAAGTGGCAGGGGGAGGGTGGGGCAGAGGGGCAGGGGAGCCGGCTGGTGCCCAAGGCCGTGCGTCAGGTGGTGGCAGGGGCAGCTGCTGTAGCCAAGGAGGGGTGCAAAGAGCAAGGCGACGCTGCGGCACTCCCATTCCCTCACGCCAGTGGTCCGTCAGTCAGCACACAAAGTGAAGGCCAGACGAATCGATCACGTGTTTATCTCGCCTTGTTCCTCTGGCTGCAGTCGTGTCGTCCTTTGACGGACGGGCTGACGAGTCCAGCCATCATGACACACTGCCGACGGGCGATGAGGAGCCCTCGACCGCCCCGCCGCCGCCCTTCCACTCGCTGTGCAATGTTGATGTCGAGCCCTTCGCCTCAGCTCAGGACACAGAGAGCGATGAGGCGGGGGAGGGTGACGTGTCTGAGGAGAGCCAGGTCCCTGGTGTGAAGACTGACAGCGCCCCACCGGCCATGCCATCGGAGAGCAGCAGCCAGCTCGACCCCAATGCGCCGTCCTTCACACCGAGTGTGTCCCATCGCAGCGGCCCCACGTCTTTCTCTCGAGTGCCCCAGCAATCCCTCTCTGTGGACGCGCCCGAGTTCTTCCCTATGCCGTCGACCAACGACTTTTCGTCGCTCAGTCACAGTGGTGACCAGCTGGCGACGGCTGGGGCCGGTAGCTATGGCGTCGGTGGTGCTGCGGGTGGTCGGATAGCGCGTGCATGGGAGCCCTATCATGACCAACACGTCCAGGATTTCCCTGACCAGCGCGTCGGGTATCTCGCCTCCTCCCCCTATGCAGAGCGGCAGTCCGCGATGAGCGGCTTGTCGCTGCCCCCATTCCCTGCCGACGACTCCCCCATTGGTTTCGGTGCCGACTATCCCTTCCCCGCCTCTTTCGACGTCCCACCCCCCGGCCACATGGCCCCCATACCCTCCCAATCCAATGCGTCTGCCTACGACGTGCCCTTGTTCCCCGTTGCCGGCCCATTCATGAGCATGCCCCCTAGCTACAGCATGGATGAGACATCGCAGCAGCAGCAGCAGCAGCAGCAGCAGCGGCAGCCGACATTGTGGCGCAGGCCGTCGATGTGGCGTGGGGGCAGGGCGCGGGGCATGAGGGGCGGCATGCGGCGGGGCGGCATGGCGGGAAGGGGTGGTGTGTGGCGTGGTGAGGGATGGGTGGGCGGCGGTGGGGGAATGGGCGACTTGTATGACGGGATGATGCCCATGCATGAGGGCGGTGCATTCATGCCAGTCATGGGGGGAGGGAGGGTCGAGTGGTTTGAGTGAGGGGCCTGAGGTGGCCATCCATACATCTTGTGTGTGAGTGTGCTTACCATGGCAAGTCAGGGACGGGTGGATGAGTATCATCAGGGATTGCCTTTCTTTGTAGGCGTGCGGGTCGGATGCGGGTGAGACAGACAGACAGACAGACAGGACGCGCCAAACGGACCTCTCGCTTTCTCTCTTTCTCTCTGCGGGAGCGTGATTCAAGCCAGGTAGGTGAGCTTTCTTCTCTCCTTGCTTGCTGCGGTTTTGCATCCATTGTCCGCTCTCTTTTGTTCTCTACACACATGCGGTCGATGAAGTCTTTGTCCACTTTGCATGGTGTGCATGACATGGATGGATGTGCACAATCCAGCCGCTGCGTGCAGACGTACGTCGCGTGGACAGTCGGATGAAGATCTTACGTACATACATACATACAAGAAGAATTGTATACATACCTCCACACACAACATGATTGATGTCAATAAAGCCGCAGAGAGAGATGCACAAACCATGCATTGCATGACCCCTCCCCTCACCCAGCCACTGGTTGGCGTGCAAGCCGGCAGCCACGCCCTCCCAACAGTCACATGCGCAACAAGTCTCTCTGGGCGTGCATAGCTTTGTGTGGACATATCTACAGCTAGTCAGTGGCTGTGCTATGTGCTATGTGTTGGGTGTGGTGCATGGGCGTAGCTACGTCAATCAATCTACCAAAGGCCTGGCCTGCCTCACTGCAGAAACACCTCGGTGTGTCTTTGGATGTTCTGGCGACACACGGGGCAGAGGCGGGCCGCCACAGGCAGGCTCATGATATGAGCACAGCAGCCACGACAGATGCACAGATGCCGCTGAACCCACATACACACACATACACACACACACTCGTGCACGACAGACCTCTCGGGCCTGTTTGTGATGTGATGGTGTGTACTTACACATGGCATCAGCATGATGCGTTTCTCCTCCTCGTTGCAGATGGCGCACTTGAGTATTTCCTCCCGCCCCTCCTCCCTGGCCTTGTTGATGGTCTCCCTGGCCTCGCGGGCCGCCTGCTGCAGCTGAAGCTCCACCGCAGCCTGCCGGTCGGCCTCACGCTGCTCCATGGCCCTCTTGTGTGCGGCTTCCAGTCGGCTCTCGGCCTCCCTGATGAGGCGGTGTAGCTCCGGCAGCTCATCTTGCTTGTCCTTGAGGGTCTTGACAACGTGGGAGAGCTCCTGCTCGGTCTCAGACGATGTCAGCAAGGCCCTCAAACTGATGGAAATAGCAAAGGGAGAAAAGGTGGCCATGTAGGTAGGTGCTCACTTGTCTATCTGCTGGCTGCGGAGGTGCGTGAGTTCCGTCTCGAGCGACTGCTTGCTCGCCTCCAGCCTGACACCAGAGAGAGGTAGATTGATGCACACAGCCATGCCATGCAGGAGTCAGAAGTGAGCCTGCATGAGGCTGTTGCCGACAAGCATACGTACTTGGCGATAGTCTCTTGCAGTGATGCCTTCTCCTTGACGTGGCCGCTCTCACTCTCTCGCAGGCTAATCAGCTCCGCCTCAAGCGGCCCCATAGACTCTCGCAACCTGACACGCACAAGACAACGATCGGCCTGCCTGTAAGCTTGTGGTGCGGCCATACGGACGTGGCTATCTCCCTGCAGGCGCAAACAAAAAGAAGACCGCCCATCATGCTCATGCTGCCTGCATGCCTGCCTGCCTGGCCACCACGCACATACGTTTCGCTACGTTGGCGCTCTTCCTGTAACTGCCGGCGATGATGCTCTTGCTTTCTGACAGGACACGACAGGACAGACGGCATACATAGCAAAGGAGAACGGGGTGGGGCGATGGGCCCCGTGCATCCACTCTCCTTCTATGCATGTGGTGCCATACGGACTGACTTGTTGATACGCTGGGCCTCCTCCTGCAGCTGCCGGCGATGCTGCTCCTGCATGCTGACAGACAAACAGACAGACGGCACAGCAGAGGGGAACGGGGTGGGGCGATGGGCCCCGTGCATCCACTCGAGGCCCTACCTTTTGATCTCTTTGTCCTTGTCGCGGTTGGCCGCCTCGAGCTGCTTGCGGGCCTTCTCACTCTGCTTCAGCCTGCAGCCACACACACACACGCCCGCCCGTGAATACAGCGAGCTGCCTGCCTGTCCGTCTGTCTGTCTGTCTGTCTTGTGTGCATGAAAAGTATGAGATACATGGCCGTGGGGGTGGGTGAGTGCTGTCAGGTGGTCGCTCACCTGTCTGTCTGGTGACTGCGGAGGTGCGTGAGCTCGGCCTCGAGTGAGCTCTTGCTCGACTGCAGCCTGAAACCAGCGAGACAGATATTGATGCAGACAGCCACGAGTCAAGCTTGAGCCTGAGGCTGTTGCCGACACTCGTACTTGGCGATAGTCTCTTCGAGTGAGGCCTTCTCCTTGTCGTGGCCCCTCTGACCGTCCCGCATAATATCCCGCAGCCTGACAGGTAAGTCCCGCACAAGATCCCGCTCTCATCGTCCATCTGTCTGTCGCTTACTTGTCTGCAGCGTCTAGAGCCAGGTTCCTATCGTCACTGACACGCTGCAGCTTCTGCATGAAATGCACGTTGAGCTCACGGAGCCTGGCAGCGTCCCTGATGACATGCACGTACACACATCACATCCACCATCGAGCGCATCCATATTCGTGTGGTCCCTTTCTTGACTGACTACCTGGCACTCTCCGACTCTTGTGAGTAGAGTCGTTCGGCGATGTAGCACTTGTATTTGGTTGTCATGTTGGGGGGCAGGTCGATGAGTATCTCGTCCCCCGGGTTGAGTGCCGTGCCGGGCTTGCGGTGCAGCAACAGGTGCGGCCAGCCGTCATGATACACCTGCACCCATACACAACCAACCAACAAACCACTCTCTCTCTCTCTCTCTCTCTCTCACACTCACACACACACACACGTGGCCACACACACACACACGACCACCAACCACAACCCACTCGTTCGTGTGCTGACCGACCACGGCGAACTGCGCGTTAGATTGTCGCTGCTGCATGCCCTGCAAGACCGCAGCCGGCTGGAAATAGGCCACGCGGTTCTTGGCCGCGCGGAAGTCGAGCATCAGGCTGTCGTCCTTTGGCACAGCTGGCCGCTGCAGCGACTGCTCTGGCTCCGGCTCCTGCTGTGAGTGGGAGCTGGGTGTGTTGCCGTTGGGAGGGTGTGGTGGCGGGAGTGCGTCGTCAACGAAGCACAGCGGCCAGATGTACCGGGGGTCGTCCCATGCCTCGGGCGTCTGCGGCACCACCTCACCCGTCAGCTCACCCAGCAACGTGATGCTCTGTGTGGACAAACCAAATCAACAGCCACAGCCACACACAAAACACACAGATCATTATTCCATCTGTGGAGTGCCCCCCTCCCTGCCTCCTGACCTTGTCTGAGGCAGCCTTCGGCTCGCCCCGGTAGACGCACACGAAGGCCGAATCGTCTGCATTAAGACCAACACGCTTCGGGTGCTTGGGTCGCTGACCCGCAGCAGCTCGAGTGTGGCATTCTCCTGGCTGGTGGCGTCCTCAAAGATGCGCGAGAGGTTGGGGTAGCCCTGCAGCACCGGCGACGAGGTGAAGTAGTGGGGGGACGCCCTGACCTTGTCGCAGTAGTCTGCAAGCTGGTTCTTGATGCCATCAGACAGGTCGCGGCAAAACTGGAAGTAACCTCTAGCGACCTGCTGAATCCAGATGCCGTCCTCTAGCGCAACTGCTGAATCAGATGTCATGAGTGCAAGCAGGGCAGGGATGCGATGAGGCCGGGGCTCAGAACGGCCGCATCAGATCAGAGGACGAGAAAGCGCGCGGAGGCCAGAGGGGCGCCAGACGCGCTCAGAGTGGTCCTCTGTGCGCAAAAAGGGGGGGATCTGATCATGATGAGCGGTGCGAGTTGTGCAGCGATCGGAGGGAAAATGCTGCGGACGTGAAGATCTTGCCAGAAGGGGAGAGGGAGCAACAGCTTGCTGCCTGATGCGAGATGGCAGCAGAATGTCCCAGATCTCCGAGGATTGATGGTTTCGTTGACAGCGGTCACCTTCCTTTCGTCCCTCGCTGCGGCCGGAGGGGGGATTGCGCTGCTCAGGAGAGCCAATGCGGCGCGGGGCCGCCGCTCTGCATCGTCACCGCAGCATCCCTACCTCACCGTGCTGCTCTACGGCACCGTCACTCTCATCATCTCCGCTGGTTCTTTCTATCTCGGGCAGCAGTTGACATCCAACCAGCTGACGCTGCCCCTGCTTGTTTCCGAGGCCCCACGCATCTACCTCGTTGAACGCTTTCTCTCGCGCGCGGAGTGTCGGCGTCTTATTGCTCTGGCGGAGGCAGAGAGTGCTCCCCATGCAAACAGCAGTCACCACCACAAGGGCCGCAGAGGAGAGGCCTTCAAGGTGAATCTGTCAGAGCGGCTCAATCTGACCGCCGCCCTCATTGACCGCATGCACCGGCTGACTATGTATCCCCCATCTCACGGCGAGCGGTTCCAGGTCTGATTTAAGAAGATCCAACTTTTCTGCTTCAACAACGTTAGACTTATTAAATTCTCTATACAGGTAGTCAAGTACACCGCCGGCCACTCAGAGTGGAACAACAACATCAACGAGAGGGAGAACAAACTGCACAAGGATAGCAACATCACGGCCGGCAGGGTGGCTACCGTCCTCGTGTTCCTCTCGTCGGTCGACAGCGGCGGCGGCGAGCTGGTCTTCCCCTACGCCAAACGAGTCGACAGTGCTGAGCTGCGGCGTGCTGCGGGCATCAAGGGCGACGGAAGGGATGTCAGGGAGATAAGCCTGTTTGGCAACGAGTACCTGCCGCCTCTCGACGCTCTCTGCGGTGAGTACAGTGAATCGCTCCGCATCGAGCCTCGGCAAGGGAGGGCCCTCATATTCTTCAACCATGACCCGGTGAGTGAGCGAGTGAGCAAGCAAGCAACACACGGAGACGAAGGGTGCATGCAACGAGTGCACTTCATGCTCACAGTATGTGTGATTTCATTCATTCAGATGTTGATAATCAGCGAGAGTGACGTGTTACACGGCAACTGCCCTGTGGCCTCCGGTGTCAAGTACACTGCCCAGCGGTTCATCAGGTGGTTTGAGGAGGGGGAGCCGAATCGACTGGCCAACATCATCTCCCTCATGCGCAGGAGAACCATGTGACCTCCTGTGCTGTTGATTGATGCTGCTGGTGCTTAGCACTGCTTAGCACATAGGTGGAGGAGTAGCTAGGTGGATGGTCTTCCTAAGGGTATTTATTTGTGCACTCCGTGTGAGCGAGGTGCTGAGAGTGTGTGGATTCCGGTTTTGGGTGGATGGGGTGAGTTCCATCCGGATCATTGGGTGTGTTGGCGTGCGGCGCGAGCGGTGCACACACATGGACTCGTGTACTCATTGATTGGCGACACAGGCTATGCGTGCGATTCATGAGCTCTGTCTGCAACACATCATGTGCACGCTGTCGTCTGCTCAACATCTGTCTGTCTATGTACACTCACTGTACACGTCGCCGCGTATGTGTGTCCACACACAACCAACACAAACACTAGCCACCCGGCGAGTCATCGACTCAACGCAGAATCTGCTGGTGCATGCACTAGCTAGTGTAGTTAGTTAGCTACAGGAAGTCCTGGAGCTTCATCCTGTCGTCTCTCAGGTAGTCCAGCTCGGGCGCTATCAATCGACTGTACCGATTGAAGTACAACGCCTGAACAAACACAGCCATAGATACATCCGTCGATGGATGGATCGGTAACAAGACAGCATACATTCCCACTCTCTCTGGACCAGCGAATGTGTGTCGTGTGGTGTGGTGTGTGAGTGGGTCAGGTCAGGTGACCGACTTGACCTGTTTGAGTAAGAGAATGAACTCTGACGGCAACCTGAGGCCGTTCTCGTCGGCCACCTTGACCAGCGACACCAGGAGTCGGGTCACCTCGTCCTCATCCACATGCACATTCACCGACCGGGCAGCTGTGCTGCTCGACATATCCACAGCCTGCGGCACAACATGATGGATACCCAGACTATTTATTGGGGAGCACTTGTCCGGCCGCTGCATGGTGACCTGACTGACCGACCTCTTTGATTTCAAGCGTGGCTGAAATCGATTCGAACCCCTCAATCAGCTCCTTGAGCTGAAGACCTACAGATCCAGCACACAGACGGTTGGTTGCCCCACATAGCATCAAGCCCGTCCGTGCGGTGCGTTGTGTGTCTGTCAGTCTGACCGACTGACCGAATTGGTCGACGTCCACTTGCCTCGATGCCGCCCCCATGCTCACCAGAGCAGACGCCATCCCCTGATCGATCAATGACACACACAGAAACGACCCAAATGCACTCGCCGCGCCAGGTGGTCAACCGTGGCATGCACTACACCAGCCGTGCCGTCTGTGTGTGTGGGTCGATCCATCGATCCATCGATGGATGCCCTCCTCGCTCACCTTGTAGTCTTGCATGGCGGCACATGCCGTGAGTTTCTGGACAGACCTCCACGTGCTCTTGCTGATCCTACCCACAATGCCAAAATCGATGAAGCCGACGCGGCCGTCATCCAGCAGCAAAAGGTTCCCCTGCAGCACAGCACAGCAACACACACGTCAAGGAAGGAGCCTGCGTCCAGACACGTGTGAATGTGTGCACCCCCCCGCCTCCTTTCGTCAAGTACGGACCGCGTGGACATCGGCGTGGAAGAAGTCGTTCATGACGAGTGAGAGCGACCAGGTGTTGATGGCGTTGATTAGAGCTTGCTCAGGATTGTCGGTGATGCGCCGCACGGCATCGACATCAGAGAAGGGCACCCCTCGCAGCCGCTCCATGACCAGCACCTTGCGGCTGCTGAAACGCCGGAACACCTTTGGCACGGTCGCCATGTCATCCAAGCCACTCCTCTGGTCAACGGGACACACGAAGGGACGGACATGCCAGTGGCTAGGGGAGGTGGCTGTCTAAATCTGTTACCGATAGGAAGGCGCTGAATTGTTCGATGTTGTCAGCCTCCTTGACGAAGTCGAGCTCCTCGAGCATCGAGTCGCGTATGTTGCGGGCCCCCTCAGCCAGCGATATGCGGGTCAGCTCGGGATTCAACCACTGAAGCACCCCTGTAGACAGACAGACAGACAGACAACGCAGTGCAGACACAGATGCATTCACACGCGCGCCTGCCCATGCATGGAGCCCGTGTATATATGTCGTTCTCCTGGCTTGACTTACGGGTGGATATGAGGACGAATGCCAAGTCTGCTTTGAGGATGCTCTCCACCTGACACACACGTGCAGGCAGGGAGGCAGGGAGAGAGGGAGAGAGGGAGGGGTGGGCGGAAAGGTGTTTGTTATCTCTGGCCTGCTGACTTCGGGTTTTTGGACTTTGATGACAACCTCCTCTCCCGTACGCAACCGGGCACTGTGGACCTGAACATACCCGAGCCGACACAACAGTTAGCGATGCACGTATGTTGGAACAACAACACCTTGCCCACTTGGATACACTGTCTGTCTGTCACTCACCTGTGCGATGGACGCTGATGCTAGTGGTGTGGGATTCACGGACTCGAAAACCTCATTCATCGGCCGGCCCAGTTCTGCCTGTATGGTGCGGCTGATGTCCGCCCATCCCGTTGGCGGAGTTTGGTCCAGACACTGTTGAGGATGGGCACAAAGCACATCACACACACACGACAGTGGGTGGAAACGGCGGAGAGGTCAGTCTCTTCCCAACGGGCCCCACCCACACGACACATGTGTAGTTAGTTTACCTTCTGGAACTCCAGCACATACTCAGCAGGGAAGAGGGAGGGAGAGCTGGCGATGAACTGGCCCAGCTTCACGTACGTCGCTCCCAGCCGCTACAGACACACAGCACACGCCCGCATAGCATCCTGAGTGTGCGTGTCATGCATGAGTGTGAGTGAATGGCATGGTTGGTTGCCTCGAAGAGCTTCCTCAATGCCTTTGGCGTGGATGCGAGAGCCACCGACAGGGCCTGTGAGCTGAGGATGGCCTCAGCGGCACCCCTGGATGTGTCGGCTGGCCGTGCTGTAGTGGACGCAGATGCTGCGGACGATGACGAGGGCATCTGGTTGATGACGTCCTGCAAAAACCACGCCCCACCAGGATCATTGTGCCGCTTGGTTGACTGAGTGTTCATCCTGTTAACACACCTGAGCAAATTCCACAGCGGTTGCAGCGGCTGCTGTTGACGCCTGGATCGTCCGGAAGATGCCTGGACGAAGACTGACATACACACATGGAGGGCAGCAAGGTGCATCCATTGCATTCTACTTGTTGCCACCCCACCCGTACGTACCCTGTTGTGAGTGCCAGGTTGACAGCATCCCTCAGCACTTCGCCCCCCTCACGCGCAAACTCGCCGATAGTTCGTTGGGGCGCAGAGGAAGAAGACGGTACAGATGCACTCTGCGACTGTGGCGCCTCCCTCCTCTCCCTCACTTCAGCAGCGGCCTTCTCGAGCGACGGGCTTCTCGCTGTGGTTATGGAGGTCGGCGGCCGCTGCTGCGGTGGGCTGATGCTGACATCGTCCTCGACGGACATGCCACCGGTTCGTTGGCTGTTTGAGTGGCGGAGAAAGGGAAGGCCTTTCCTGAAGTGAACAAAAGGTGTGCTACCGTCCCCATAGAGCGAGTGGGAACGGCGGAGGGTGGATATCGATGTGAAGGGCAGAAAGGCGGCGGACCGCATGCCGCTGGCCGTGACAGATCTGAGGCAGAATAGGCAGCTGACGAGCCACACGTGGCACTGATGGCGATGTAGGCACGACAGGAGGCTGCTCAAGTGCGTCATGGACATCGCAAAGCAGGAGAGAGATCTTTAAGCTCGCAGAACCAGAGCTGTCTGTGAAACCGCTCTCATGGAGGTGATTTCTTCGGGATTTCTGATCATCTTGCCTTATCTCGTCGGCTTATCCACCTGTTGCCATTTGCAATGGTCATAGCAGCAGATCTGTTCGACAACCGCAGCCTGTTTGTGTGTGTGTGTGTACTGCGCCTGTCTGTCTGTCTGTGTCGTCTAAGCCCTGCGGACGGATATTGGCGTGTACTGTATGGATCAATCAGATCGATGTGGGGCAGAGTCATTCATTCGACGTCTCTCTCTGTCCACAGCAACTACAAAGACACACGCACGCGTAGCTTCGCCACACCAACACACGCGCACGCACACACGCACGAGACGAGAAGGCCTGACGGACAGACAGGCGGACAGAGAGACAGACAGACAAAGAGACAGACAAGGAGACAGACAAGGAGACAGACTGAAAGTGCATGGGAGCACGACACATATACAGATGCACCTCTGTGTGTGTGTGTGTGTGTGACAATCGGCTTATGTTCCGTCGGCCGATGTCAGAGTACTCTCTCTCTCTCTCTCATTGTATGTCTCGCTTGTATATATGTACGAGAGGCTTCTGTGTATTGCACCATACGGCCTATACTGCCTGCTCTTCACACACATACAAAGCTTTAAGGCAAACAAGGGCTTGGCAGCAGATGTTTAATAATGTTGTGAGCCATCGGCTTTCATCCACATTGCTACATGAACTCACTGAATGGCCACGTATTGTGTTATGACTGGAGGACAAACATGTCACAAATCAACATGAAGAAAAGCCAAAACGACCCATCATAGGTCGGAAAAAAGGCTTTCCTGTATGCGCCCTTCAGCACACTCCCCCTCCGCATCCAGTGGTACATATCTTTTTCCCCTGCCAACGACGAGAGACAAGAATTAAGAGAAGATGTCTTGGATCATTCCGCGGTGTGTGGAGACTGATTTTTACCTTTTTCGCATGTTAATGCCCCAGTACTCCATCCCGTTGTTGGTGTCTGTATAAACAACCCTCTATCTGCACCACAACGAAAATTAAGTGAATGTCGATACATAGTGGATCCGTGCCTCATAGAGTACTTATCGCTTTCTGTGCAGTTCGGCGACGCTGTGGGCGGCCTATTGGCTCAACTGTAGCCGCTGTGCTGGGGCTTCTCCGGGTGGCACGCTTGGCTGGTCCCTGTCCAATGCCCTTGGCCCGCCCCCCCGTTCTCTTGGTTTTCCTGGAGCCTATCGCTCTCGGCTTGGGGTTGGGCTCGGGAGGTGTAAGAGCCGGCACAGGCGCCTCAGCCTCACCAACACCAGCAGCGTCTGTCTCCTCAGCCTCACCAACACCAGCAGCCTCTTGCTCCTCACCCCACACTCCCTCCTGCTCGGAAGCCTCCGGACCCTCATCGGCGACCGACGGGACCTGCTTGCTCTCTTCGACTGCATCCGCAGCAGCACGGGGAGCCGGTGGAGGGGCAACAGCCAATGAAGACATGGCTGCGTCATCATCATCTGCACGCTCTGCCTGTGAGGATCGCCCACTCTCGGGAGCTGGTGGAGGGGCAGCAGCAGATGAAGACATGCCATTGGCTGCGTCATCATTATCTGCACGCTCTGCCTGTGAGGATCGCCCACTCCCTCCCGATTTCTTCAGAATAGACTTGAGGGGCGTCATGGTTCGATGCACGCGAAATACGTCGGCGTTTCCGGTGGTGGTGGCTTGGCTGGCTGCGTTTGGCCGGCTGCCATTGCTGGAGGGCCTCTGAATCGTTGTGACTGGCAAGTCTTTGTCAAAATCTGAACCAACAGACAGGCAGACAGACGGACACATGCATCTGATCTGATATATGTAGATGAGCTGGTCCCTCCCTGTATGATATACACCTGTTTGACGGTTCTGAGTAAGGTCGAACTTGACTCTGCAAGATGGCTGACGCTGATCCTCGCCAAAATCGGCATCCGCTGCAGACTGCTGGTCGAGTCGAGGAGATGGAGCCATGTCTCCCTCCTCAAGCAATGCCGTCGCTGGTGTTGCGCTGTGCTCGAGCTTGGGCCTCTTGGATGGTGGCGGCTTTTCTGTGTTTTGCCGTTTTCTTGATTGTCTCCCAATACACGATCGAATGTCTACTCCCTCCTGTTTTCTTGATTGTTTCTCATCCCTGCATGTCTGACCAATCCGGTGGCTCCCAGCATTGGCCCGGTTTGTGTATGTAGTACTTGATCGCTCTCTTCGAAACGCTTGGCCTGCAGCGCAAGGCAAGACTCCAAAAGTGCCTCCTGCGTATACTGGGAAGCCTTTCATTTGCCCTCTTACTTTTCACTGTAGCCGCTGTGCTGGGGCTTCTCCGGGTGGCACGCTTGGCTGGTCCCTGTCCAATGCCCTTGGCCCGCCCCCCCGTTCTCTTGGTTTTCCTGGAGCCTATCGCTCTCGGCTTGGGGTTGGGCTCGGGAGGTGTAAGAGCCGGCACAGGCGCCTCAGCCTCACCAACACCAGCAGCGTCTGTCTCCTCAGCCTCACCAACACCAGCAGCCTCTTGCTCCTCACCCCACACTCCCTCCTGCTCGGAAGCCTCCGGACCCTCATCGGCGACCGACGGGACCTGCTTGCTCTCTTCGACTGCATCCGCAGCAGCACGGGGAGCCGGTGGAGGGGCAACAGCAAATGAAGACATGGCTGCGTCATCATCATCTGCACGCTCTGCCTGTGAGGATCGCCCACTCTCGGGAGCCGGTGGAGGGGCAGCAGCAGATGAAGACATGCCATTGGCTGCGTCATCAGTATCTGCACGCAATTCCGGGGTCGGGGAAGAGCTGTTGTTCATCGTATACAACCGCGGATGCGAACGGATCATGGTAGATAGCTGCGGATCTGCCGCGCCGAACCCGGGAGGCAGCTGATCAGCTGTGGCTGGAAGCGATGAATGGGACGCTGATGAGTGGACGGCGTCCGAGACGTCCCGGGCGCGGGGGCCTGGGGGGGGCTTAGAAAGTCCTCAGAACGAGGCCTGTTGGGATGCAAAACAATGTGTGATCTTCGCACATTTCACTTGCGGAGCGAGCTTGAGCGAGCTTTTTGTCCGTTCGACAACAGGCCTGTTCGTGTGCGGTCAATTATGTCTGTCTGTCTGTCTGTCTGACTGTCTCTGCATCGTCAAGTGTGTCGTTTAAGCTTTGCGGACGGATATTGCCATGAATAGATCAATCAATTGACAACACACCCATCATAAATCTCTCACACCCACACATGCATGCCATGCAGTGTCACCGGCCAGGTGGAGCCTTAGCATGCAGCCATTCGATCACGCAAACGGACGGCCACTCACTCACTCATCGCATTCGTGCCCACCCACCCACCCACACTGATGCAGTCAGTCACGCACATCGCGAGCACAAGTGGCCTTGAAAACACACATGCACACACGCAACAGCCGAAGTAGCAAGTAGTGGGTGCATGCCATCAATAGGCGGGCCCAGGAAGCCAGCCAGCCAGCAGGTGAGAGTGAGTGTATGTGGGATTCAAACTGAGTGACCGCCTGGCAAACACCCGACCCCCACCCGACCCTACCCGACCCCACCCTGCCTGCCTGCATCATTGCATGATGCATTACGCATCCGACAGCAGTGTTGGTGCGGTGCGGGTCGGGCAGATTAGCTGGGTGGGGTGGCTGAGCTGAGCCATGTGCACACTCCCTCTGTCTATCTCTACCGTGTGTGTGGCTATGGCCGGCCGGCCGGCCGTCCCTGTCTCATCCATCCATCAGTCAGTCGATCAGCTCAAAATCGCCTCACAGTCACGCACTTGGTCACTCGGTGTTGGGCTTAAACAAACCAGTGGGTGGGCGAGGAAGGAAGTATTGCGGCCGGGAAAAGAAAGGCAAAGGCGCCAGGCCGCAGTCAGGCAGGCAGTGGGCCCACAAGGGAGGGAGGGATGAAGGGAGTGAGGGAGTGTGAGTGGAAAGCGCGATCGGTGTCTGTCACGTCCGTGCATATCAAAAACGGTCCGTGTGTCGACCGCAGGGCAAGCCAGGCAGGCAAGGGAAGGCAAGGCAAGGCATCGGGGAGAGAAAAGGACGCAAGGAGGGAGGGAGGGAGGCCAGGCAGCCACACAGGTAGGCGGGAAGGCAGATGCATTCGACACACACACCTCTGTTTGTGCGATGGACGAAGGCAGCCAGGCAGGCAGGCAGGCAGACAGGCAGTCAGTGAGAGCATCTGAGGGCTGATGTGTCAGCTGAGGGTTACCCTACAGCCTGCCTTCATGCTCGCTACAGATAGATAGATAGATCCTCTCCTTTTGTCACCCACCCCACCCCCGATTTGCAGTGATCAATGCTACTCAGGATCTGTCCGTCCGGCCCTCCATCCATCCATCCAGCTGTCTACGGGTCTCTCTCCCTCCTGTGTGTGTGGGCTCTCTGCTCGTCAGTCAGTCACATAGGTAGTGGGCCTCAAAAGTGGACATACAGCCAGCCAGTCAGCCATCCATCCAGTCAGTCAGTCAGTCGCTGAAACGTAACAAGGTTACGCACGGAAGGGTCAAATTAACTGCACACACAGGTGTGGCATGCATGGCATGGAAGACAGGAAAGGGGACGTGTGCACACGCTTTCAGTCGTGGATGGATGGATGGACCCATCACACGAATTGGGCTCTCTCTCACACACGCAAGCAGGCAGGCAGGCAAAACACTCGATCGGCGGACGCACGAACACCTGACCGACCGACACACAACACACAACACCAGCCACACATCAACATCATGAGATCGTCCAGGCACGTCAAGGGGCCTTCCTTGTGCTGTGCTGGCTCACCGGCGAATTGTGGGAGATGTGTGTATGTATGACCACAGTGGCTGGCTAGAAGCACTTGCGGTGTACGACGGTTGGTCCGGACTCGTCGTACTCCTGCTTGGAGATCCACATTTGCTGGAATGTGGAGAGCGATGACAGGATGGAGCCGCCGATCCACACGCTGTACTTGCGCTCCGGGGGCGCCACCACCTTGATCTTCATCGTAGATGGCGCCAACGCAGTCAACTCCTTCGTCATCCTGAACACACATTTTGACACACACACACACATGGCATCGTCTCTCCCTCCCTCCCTCCATCCCTCTCTGTGTGTGAGTGCGTTAAAGGTACTGACCGTTCTCCGATGCCGTTGAACATGGTGGTGCCGCCGGAGAGGACGACGTTGGCGTAGAGGTCCTTTCGTATGTCGACGTCGCACTTCATGATGGACTGGAATGTGGTGTCGTGGATGCCCGAGGCCTCCTTGCCGATGAAAGACGGCTGGAACAGCACCTCCGGGCACCGGAACCGCTCGTTGCCCACCGTGATGATGTTGCCGTCCGGCAGCTCGTACGTCTTCTCCAAATCGCTGCTCTCAGACGCGTTCTTCATCGCTGCACACCACACACACCACACAACCAACCACACACACACAAACACAAACACAAAGGTGGTCTCCTGGTGGTCTTTTGCCTCGGTGTGTGCTGTGGGTTGTCTGCCTGTTACGTACCTTCGTCGAAGTCGAGTGCGACATAGCAGAGTTTCTCCTTGATGTCTCGTACGATTTCTCGCTCTGCGGTGGTGGTGAATGTGTATCCGCGCTCGGTGAGTATCTTCATCATGTAGTCGGTGAGGTCGCGGCCCGCCAGGTCCAGCCGCAGGATGGCGTGGGGGAGTGCGTAGCCCTCGTAGATGGGCACGGTGTGGGAGACGCCGTCGCCGCTGTCCATGACGATGCCCGTGGTGCGGCCCGACGCGTACAGCGACAGGACGGCCTGGATGGCCACGTACATGGCGGGGACGTTGAAGGTCTCAAACATGATCTGGGTCATCTTCTCGCGGTTGGCCTTGGGGTTCAGCGGCGCCTCGGTCAGCAGCACGGGGTGGTCCTCGGGCGCCACACGCAACTCGTTGTAAAACGTGTGGTGCCATATCTTCTCCATATCGTCCCTGTCGACACACACACACACACACAGAGGGAGAGAGAGAGCAAGAGGGGCGTCATCTCCACACACACACACAGACACACAAGTGTCCTCCCTCCCTCCCTCCCTCCCTGCCTGCCTACCTGCCTGCCTCCCTCTTTGCCTCTCTGCAGCCGTCCGTCTGTCCGTGCGCCTGTCTCTTTCACTGTGTGTGGTGTGTGCGGCTCACTCACCAGTTGGTGACTATGCCGTGTTCTATGGGGTATTTGAGTGTGAGGACGCCCCGCTTGGACTGCGCCTCGTCTCCCACGTAGCTGTCCTTCTGATCCATACCCACCATGATGCCAGGCATCTTCGGCCCTGACGGACGGACGGACATCATACGCACACAAACACCACGCAGTAAGTACACCAATCCGGTGGCACGTACAGCACACGTGCCGTCGCTATGCCGCCTATGCCGCGCTATGCTGCCTCTTCTGTAAGCTGAATCTGTGTGTGTCCGCTGAGGGAGCGAGCCGCTTACTTCCGACGATGGAAGGAAAAACTGCCCGCGGCGCGTCGTCGCCGGCGAACCCGGCCTTGCACATGCCCGAGCCATTGTCGATGACCAAAGCCTGGGCCTCCTCGTCTGCCATCACGTCACGACGATCTCCTGGTGTGCGGGCTTGCCGAACGAAACGAAAGCGACGAGAGGGCAGGCAGCGGACTGACGCTCACCGCGGCAACAGCAACTAAGCTACGCAGGCTGGAAAAGGCGGCGCAAAGCGATCGCTCTGAAAGCTCGCAATCTTTTGACCGCTGTTGAAGGGAAGGAAAACTGTGGTGGGATAGCGTCTATAGCCTGACGATAGCGGCGCTTGCCTGCGCTTTGCAAATCTGTGGTTGCGAGGCATCGGCCATCGGCTTTGTCGGATGCGTTGAGTGGTCCACGGCAGGCGGCCTTGCGCGTGGTTTTGCAGCACACTCGCATCTGCTGAAGCACGCCAGTCGTGCATCCAAACCAAGAAGGTGGGCAAACAACGGCTGATGCCGCAAAGGTCAGATCTCGTTTGTTGCTGTTGCGTCTACAGGGTTGTGCGGTTGTTGTCGTTGTTGATCATGAGCAGCAAGCATGCGGCAGAGGACGGCCCGGACGACTGCCCGGAGGCCAAGAGAACCAAACCCAACGCCGTCTGGCAGTCGGTGAGATACAAACACAAACACACACACCACACACACCCCTCACACACACGCGACACCTTCTGCACTGCACTAAGACCTTGATCCGTCTGCCTGCTCTGTGCGTCTGTGTGTGTCGATGGAGCAGCGCGGTAGTGTGTATTGGAAGGACTATGACAGCCCGGCGTCGGACAAGGTGTTGGGGCTGGACCTCGACGGCACCCTCATCGCCCCCAAGAGCGGCGCCAAGTGGCCGAAAGATGCCAACGACTGGCGGCTGCTCTACGGCGGTTCCTGCAGGACCGTACTCAAGAAACACGTCAACGACGGGTTCGTTGGGCCTACGCGCAAAGCAGACACGTCTTCATTGGATTTCTGTGTGTGTGTGTGTGTGGTTATAAGGTTCAAGGTAGTGGTGTTCAGCAACCAGAAGGGCGTGTCGACGGGCAAGCAGAAGCTAGAGGACCTGCAGAAGAAACTCGATGCCGTCCAGGCCGCACTCGCCGTCCCCATGCTCGTCTACCTCGCGTAAGTTGAAAGACCACACCCCACGCACACGCACACGCACACACGTTCTCACACCCACCTTGCGACGTCGTGTGTGTATGTGTGTGTTGACTGGCTGACTGGCAGCACGCGTGACGATATCTACCGGAAGCCATGTGCGTCAGGCCGCCTGACAGCCACATATCACGCTCTTCGTCCACCATCCACTTGTGTGTGTGTGTGTGTGTATTGGTCAGGCACTGGATCGTGGGATTTGATGGAGAGCGAGCACAACGACGGCGTCAAAATCGACCGCAAACAGTCCAAGTTCGTCGGTATGAGACCAAATCACCCATGCGCACACACAGAGAGCACAGCGGTGGTTGTGGTGGATGGTGTGGTGGGTGCAGGTGATGCGGCTGGCCGCCCTGCGAGCGGTGGTCGCAAGAAGGACTTCAGCAGCTCGGATCACAAGTTTGCCCTCAACCTCGGCATACGCTTCCTCACACCCGAAGAGGCCTTCCTGGGTACGTACCGTACCATACGGCCCTCGAGGTGGATAGATACCATTTGTTTGCCGTGTCTGTGGCTGGCTGGCTGGCTGGCTGGTTGCGTGCAGGTCAGAACTCCAACTTCCCGACTACGTTTGACTTCGATCCCCGCACACTTGGACAGGGTGGGGCGGGTCAGACACACGCATAGGCAGAGAGGCCAGAGGCGCATGACATGAGCCCGTCCGTCAACCGCTGCAGTGCACCATCTCTCCCTGTGTGTGCAGGCTTGGTGCCTCCTTCGACGGTGATCAAGAAGGTGGAGGACACCGAGGGTAGGTGGGTCTGTGCGTGTGTGGACGAGCGGCTTGGAAACTCATGGCGTTGTAGGTGCGTGTGCACTGCAGTGGTGATCCTGGTTGGCGCGCCGGGCAGCGGCAAGAGCTCCCTAGTGTAACCAAGCCATTCATACCCCACACAATGATGCATCTGTCTCCCCTGCTCTGCGCAGTCGCAAGCTGTTCCCGACATACAAGCACGTCAACCAGGTAGGTGACAACTCCCACCCACCGTGCTATGCTATGCTGTGTTGTGTTGGATGGATGGATGGATGTGTGTGTGCAGGACACGTTGAAGGACAAGAACAAGTGTGTCAAGGAGTGCAAGACGGCGTTGGCGGCGGGGCAGTCGGCCGTCATTGACAACCAGAATAAGGACAAGAGCACCAGAAAGGCCTACATAGACCTCGCCAAACAATACAAAGGTCAACGGAATGGACGGGGGCAAAAGGGGAGAGAGGAGCAAATGGCGCGCTTACCGGTGTCTGCGTGTGTGTGTGTGTGTGTGTGTTTGTCAGCTAAGGTGCGTGCCGTGTACATGGACGTGCCGAAGGACTTGTGCTTTCACCTCAACGCCTACCGCGAGCTCAACCCGCGTGTGCGCGAACACAAAAAGAAGATCCCCCCCATGGTATGCCCTGCCATGCCACGCCGCCACACCACTTGCGCCCGCCCGTACTCGTATCTCTCCCCCTGTGTGTCTGTGTGTGTGTGTGTGTGTATATATCAAAGGTGCTGCATTCCTTCTACAAGAACCGCGAGGTGCCGCAGGTGAGTGAGAGACGAAGGAGTGGACAGGTCGGCCGAGTGGCCTCCCTCGGCCATGTGTGTGTGTGTGTGTATGCGTTTGTTTGTATGGTATTGGTTCGCATGACAGAAGAGTGAGGGCATCGACGAGGTCATCACACTCACCATCAAGAACTTCGAACCCGGTGCGCCAACACCTCGCACACATCCTGTTCTCTGGCATTGTTATTATGTGTGTTTGGGTCATGCAGGCCCGTTTGCCGATCCGAGCGACGAGAAGCTACTCAAGTCATTCCTCGAGTGAGGTTGTTGGAGACTGCTGATGGTGGATGTAGCCTCACGTAGAGGTAGCTATACATAGCTGAGAGAGAGAGAGAGAGAGAGAGAGAGGTGCAGGGAGGCGAGAGGGAAGTTCCTTCCTTGCCCTCCTCATATTCAGGTGATGCATTCATGATGGCTGATTGATGGACGCGTGCAGTGCATATCGTCATGTGCTTGTACTGCTTGTACAGTGGATAGCTAGGGTGATTGGTGGCTTGCGTGGTGCCATGCCTGACTGACTGACTGCGTGGATCGGATCGGATCGGTTGCTACTAAGTAGAGTCGACACTCAATCCATCGATGCATGGTGCACACGAAAGTCCTCTGTACACAACACGCTTGTTCATGCAGGTACACACAGAGAGAGAGGGGCCCTTTTTTTCTTCGTCAGTCATACTGGTGTCTGTCTGTCATAGTAAGTCTTCTCCCCTCCCTCCCTCCCCTCCCTCCTCCCCCATTGCTCTGCTTGGTGGGATGGATGGATAGGTTGGTGAGGTCTGTCACTGCGCTCTGACCAACTTGAGGTAGACGGGCACTGCGATGAGGGCGAGGACGATGGGGAAGCCAATCACCCACGCAACTATCATGCCGGCAAAGGACCCGTCGCTCATACCCTCTGCAGCCAGCCACACATGTATTCACACCCACCACACACAGAACGTATCTTTGCGTTGCCTTCAACAACCAAGTGTGGGCTGCCACCTGACTGACCCACTGACCCGCTTCGAACGATATCTTTTTCTCCACCTCTGCAAACAACGAAACGGACAGACAGGCAGGCCATTTCTCTCAACGATGGATGAATGGATGTGCGTGGATCTGACCATTGTCGCAGCGCAGCCCCGAGTACCATGTGTCGCACACGCACAGACCCTGGACGGTGCACCTGCAGTATCACATACACACGTACACGCCACACACATGCCACTGGATGGATGGATGGATGGCAGAGGAGGACGGACAGACCGGATGACCGTCGAACTGACCGTCCGTTGTTGGAGCATGTGGCTGAGCTGCACGTGAGGGGGTAGGGTAGCTCAGAGTTCCCCTGGCCGCTCACACTCAGCACCACAAACGACAGAACCATCCACCACATCATCGCGCTGCTCGGCCAACTTTTTTGTTCCTGGCCGTGGGCAGCAAGATCTTGGCATCAAAAATGGCACTTACTGTGACCGTCCTCTGTGCGGCCGTCCTTCTCGCAAGTGAGCACATGCTGAATGAGGCAGATCACCGCAGATCTCGTCGAGGTCGGCAGCCAGGTGTGGTTCTTTGCCCTGTGTGTGTGTGGGGGCGCTGCGTCGGACTGATGGTGGGTGCGTGCCGGGGGACATCAACGAGGGAGCCAGCGGCTTCGTCGAACAAGGTGGGGAGGGGGAGAAGAAAGATGAATCTGACGCGCACACGTCCATGGATAATGCATCGCAGTGTGGTGGCCATCCCATCCAGGGAAGGGAGGGAGACTTCAATTCCCTGGTTACGTGCTGCAAGGTTTGTCGTGTCTTCGTTGGACAGACATGTCCAGTCATAGTCGACCAGTCGGGGCGGGGCGGGGGGGGGGGGGGGGGGA